AGCTAATGATCAAGAACAAGCTGGGGAGAGTACGAAAGTTTATTCTATGGATGAAATTTGGAAAGATATTGAATTATTAGAAGAAAATGAAACAATTAATAAACCAATTATGGGGTCAATTTCACCCTTATGGGATTATTGTCCAGACCCCATGTGGAAAGATTTTGACTGGAGTAACTTTCGGTAAGAGAGTGACTTTGAATTAGTCGGGTAAGCAGACTTCAAATATCGAATGGTTAAACTGGAAAAAGAAAAGACGGGGCTAATAGGAGGATAATTTAATTGAAAAAAAGAAACAAATTTCTTATATTAGTTGGTTTAGGTTTTATATACGAGTAAGTTCTAACTTGTATATTACTAGCATTATAGTAGTAATAATAAGTATAAAAATCCCAAGATCAGAAGGTACTAGGTGATCTGTTAAGATAATCAGTAGTAGTGCTTTTGAAGTCTGCTGTTGTAGCCATGTGATGATATGCTTTAATTTAATTACTAGAGTATTAAGTCTGTTTCTATGTGATTATTAGCATCGGCAATCTTTCGTATGAAATTTAAATGTTCTTGAATTCCTTGTAATATTTCTTAGCTTCCTATGTGTAAAAGTTTTAATCTTTTCTTGCAGTTGCATCAATTCCATCCATTAAATTTGCTATTTCAAACTGTGGCGGAGCTAAATATTTTACTAAGTGTTAATATATATAAAAAAGTAAATACAGAAAATAAAATAAAGGGGGTCAATATATAATATATTTACATAAAATAAAATTTTAATTTAGTTAAAATAATATAATTTTTCGGCAAATGGGTGTCAATTGATTGGATGCAAAAATTTAAGAAATAAATAAAGAATTAAAATTTATTATCTAAAATAAATCATAAATACATGTGTGACAGTAAATTATTAAGGGTAAAATTAATATTTTAAAGTTAATTTGTTATTAAAATATGGAAAGATTATTTTTTGGGTCGGATTAGAAAAAAAGAGTGTTATATAAATTGGGAGGAAAGGACTAATATGATAAGAAGCTGATCAAATCAAACTTCCAAGGATTGGGGATCTGATTGGGAATGCAATTAGAGTTGGTGCACATTTTCTAATTCTGTAATCCACTATTAGATTTAGCACAACTTTAATTTTGACGGCAAACAAATGATTGGATGATTAAAAGGTGCATAGAAAATGTTCTCCCAATCATCTAAATGTTATCTTTTGCCAAAGAAAACAAATAAAACTCTGTGCATTAATTAGACTATGTTTTTTTACCAATAGTCCAAAAGAGGAATTGTTCCCACAACAACACGTAGCTACTACCATTATCACACAAATATAGTATTCATTAAAAATGGTACTAATCCAATAATAAAGATACGTAGTAGTAGCGGAGGCGGAATTATGCTATATCAAGAGGAGTCATCGGTATTTGTAAAGTTCGACAAAATTTTCATGTATACATGTATATATTTTTAAAAAATATTGATATATTAGCAGTGACATTATATACAAAGCAGATTTTGATTGAATTCAAAAGTGCACTCGCGATCTTTAAATTCTGGATCCGTCTCATAGTAGTAGTAGTAGAATAAAAATTACTTATTTAGTCGATAGAGAAAGGTTAAAGGTATTCGATATTAACTTTTTAAAGTGATAAGCTTGAGTTGGTTAGTGATTTCTAGATGTTACTCACTAAAAACTAGCTAACGAGAAAGTGGAGGGATTGCAAGTGGACTCTATTTTAATTGGATGGAAATGTCCTGAATAGAAAAATAAGTGGTCCTAACTGTATACTAAATTTGCTATTGAGTACTATGCATTGATACTATATAAATTTTATAATTTTCTTACATTTTTTGTGAATATAATTTAAATTTATTTTTAATTTCTGTGCATTTATACTATATGATTTTTATAATTTTCTTACATTATCTATGAAATATAATCTAAATTTATTTAACAGTGGCCTAACATATTAAATGAAAAGAACTATTTTAGTGACCCTACTGCAAGAGACAATTAAACCTAAGACGTCAAGGTTGTACTAACGAGCTTCGACTTGACATTTGAGCAGAATATTTGATGATAATGTTAATACATAATAACATTATTCCATCTGTTACTTGACATAAAATAAACCGTAGATATTTATTTCTGTTATAAGTTATAGAATTAATAAATAAGAAAATCAGTTACGAGAAAAATAACGTAAGTTATGTTAGTTGTAGCGTGCCTTTCCTCCTTCTCTCATGTTAGTTGTAGCGCGCTTTCCCTCCTTCTCTCACTTTGGAAAGATTTTTCATTATTTTTTTATGATGACTTGGTCGAGAAAGTACGATACATTGGTGTAAAAGATTTCATTTTTTCCGTGAGCTTGGTTTACTTGACCGAAGGGAATTCAAGAAGATTTTAAAAAGAAAGAATCGTTTTTTTGAAGGGGGATCATTGCACATAGTGTGCCTATTCATGTTGTATTTGTTAATGAGCTATCTCACTTCTTCATTTGTCTTCTTATAAAATAGTAATTGGGATGGTTTTATGAATGGAGCATTGTTTTTAGATTATGTCAGGTTGCTAGTAGAGATAACCTTAAACACTTTTGTCTCTCATAATTATATTTGTATTTTGATTCATATAAATATGATACATATAAATAGAGTTATTACCTACAGGCTAGTAAGTTATATAGTGCACTAGTTCTATAAATGGTGAGTTGTATGCATAAGTAAAACATGATTTATTCCCTCTTCACTTACTCTTTTAATTTCCTCTGTTTCCTGACTCAACAATACTATTTCTCGAATTCCTTGTTGAATTCTTGATTTTGGTATCATATTCTGTTTGACTAGGAGTACTATATTCAAAAGTAAAGTTCCAAATAATATGATATAGTGTCACATAGCTATATCTTAATCTACATTTTGGAGATTCCATACTTTCTTGCTACGATATTTCCCACACTTTAGACTGTTATATCTTATTAGATATCCCTATTTAATAATTTATATTGCATCCCGTGGAATAAGACACTCAGGACCAGAAGCGTATTCAAGATTTTAACGCAACAAGAACATCAGTATTTTGCTTAACTAGTACCATGAATGTGTTCACTACTTTTATTACAAAAAGTTATGGTGAAGATTATAGAACTTAAGAAACAAATGTCGGAGTGGCACAATAGCAAAGATGTAGTGTAATATCAAGACAAATGAACTTTCCAAATGGTAAAGAAATGTACACAACAAATAATGAACAAGTGGCAAGGTATGCTGCCCCTTGGGTTAATGTATAGACTATATTACTACTGCAACTAGTAGTAAGTACTAGTTTATCATCATTGTACTGTTTGACTTGATCCATGATTGGCCATCTTATACAATGGAGCTAGTGAAACAAGGCAAAGGAAACTGACAACTTAACAATGGAAGCTAGAACCTTTCTATTTGGTCTGAAACTATGCAAACTAATGAGAACATATATTTAACTTTATATGCAATTGAACTCCTAGTCATAAATAATCCAATTTTGGCAATTGAACTCCAACCAACTATGTGTCACAAGTTATATTAACTTTCTTTCTTGCGCCGTTTGGGAGTCTTGGAGTAATACTAAAGTTGTCTTCGTTTGACTTATAGGTCACGGATTCGAGCCGTGAAAGCAGCCACTAATGCTTGTATTAGAGTAGATTGTCTACGTCACATTTTAAAGTACGACCATTTTTCGAACTCTGCGTAAATACAGAATGCTTTGTGTATCAAACTGTTTTTCTCTTTCGCCGTTCTAAATTGATTGCCGTCCATCTTATACTGCTTTGATTACTCCTTGAGAGTCATGGTGAAGGCCTTTTGGCAACTGAACTGCTAATCATAAATAATCCAATTTAGGCCATTACTCCAACCAAACATGTGTCTCGAAATTATATTGACTTTCTTTCTTGGGCCGTTCTAAATTGAACACCATATTGCTTTTAATGTTTCAAACCTTAAACAAATCAATAAAACAAATAGTGTTAGGTCGAATTAGTTCAACGTGTCTAATTTCTAAGCCAACACTGGAAGCCATTAACTCTAGAATAGGTGAATTCCTATTTCGCCTTCTTAAACGAAGCATGGATTTTATGAAAAGATTGCCTATTCGTATCCTAGTATAGGAAATAAAATCATCATAAAGGGTTGTATGATAGATAGACAAAAATAATTCTGGGATAAAAATTTGATAGCGCCTTATTCCTTATTTGGTTACTAATTTTGGGATAAGTTATCCCAGGATTAAAAATAGTATCAGAATAAGTTATGCATGCCAGAGGTGGAATAATAATTCCAAGATAAGTTATCCCAAAATAAAGTAGTAAAATTGACAATTCCATAATTAATACAATATACAAAACAATTAATAAAAAATAATCCCTATAACTAATCACAACATAACTACTCCCAACATAATTTTGTCTTCAAACCAAAATTAAAAGAGCAACAATTGTTTTTACCATGTGGTCACTTCCTGGCCTTGTATTTAGAAGATGGTCACTTTTTAAAAATTAGAATCATGGTTTGAATATTGGATTTAAATTTTGAACTTTAAATCAGGTGATCACTTTCGAACTTTAGTCCATTGGTCTAAGTTTTAAAAAGTTGCAAACTTCTAATTACAAGGCCGCAAATCTTGCTAATTGTGTAAATCCACCTAATATTGGGCCCATACCAAATTGTACCCCAATAAAAGATCCATTATAGGTTGGGAACAAAGGCCACAAGTGTTACTGGTCCAAACTTCCAAGAACTTTAAGACCATACGTTTGTGATCTCATTTTCTTGTAGTATTAATTGCTGTTTGAACCAAAAGTTGAAGCTTTTATTACCCCCCGAGTAAAAATGGCTGAGAACTAGCCAACTAGGCATAACTGAAAACCTATATAATTAGTAACTTCTACAGAAGTACCCAAGTGATCTCCAATGGCTAAACTGAAGGATCTTTATCTCTTCTCTTACAATTCTCTTCAGTTTCTTGGATGGTAAATTTCTTTACCCTTCCAACCNGTAGGACAGTAGCACTTTTCAGAATTTTAAGCAATTTTATTTTCACTAACTCAGTCACTGGGACTTATGCTTCTGCTGGTGAACTAATTTGTGAGTTCCATTTTTTTTTTTGGGTTAAGAATTTCTCTCCTTTTGATGTTTTTGAGTCACACGTTTGAGTAAAAATGTGGTCTTTGTGTTAAAGGTTTGTTGCAATGTTGTGCATTCTTGGAAGTTGTACATGGAGCTATAGGTAAAGTACTTTAATGGGTTTTTTATTTGACAGTATCGTAAAAGTAGCAAGCTCATATTCTGATTCCTGTCTTTTTTGGGTTATTAAGGAATTGTTCCTAGTGGAGCAGTGCTTCCTTTGATGCAATGGAGTGGAAGAACTCATTTTCTGCTTGCAATTGTTCGTCGAATTGTTGAGGTTTTACTTCTTTCTAATCAAATCACACATACTTTTATGCACTAGTTACTAAAGATAGTAAGATCATATGCACTTTTTAAATAGGAGTTTAAGTTGTATATATAGCCAGTACAAGAAATTTTTACACTGAGGTCACTTTTACCTGTTGTAGTAGACAACATGTCTTATTTTCAACACTTACCTGTAGATATCTTTTGGGTGATCTGATGGTGTAAAAGATTCTTTACACTGACAATGTACATGACTTGAACTCTTTAAATAGTATCATCATGGAACTAATTATTGGTCGCAATAACACGATTTTTGGAAGCTTAATAAAGCAATGGAGTCTTTTGTTGTGCGGATTTCTGGTCTGTGTACAATTTGGAGTAAACACAAAGAACTTGAGTGTGAAGTATTTGTGGTTTTTGTTTACTTTCTTCTAGGTCCAAGAATCACCTTCAGTGTTCATAACATTTTTAGCTTGGAGCTTAAGTGAGGTGAGTTAATTTTCCTCCTCTCTTTGTTTTCATTACATGTTACTCTAACATTTTTTTTGCCTTTTCCCTCTTTTTTATTTGGTCGATTTCTTATATTTAGAATCTTAAACCATCTTGAGTAAGTACTAGTGTAAAACGTACCCTCACATGCGAAAACTTTAGAACTTACTCCTATTGAAAGCAGTGGCAGAAAAAGGAAAAAAATATTTGTACTGTGGTAAAGAGCAGCTTGCTCTGTGGACTTTTGGCGAAAGTGAGCACACAGAGTGGACTACCAGGCAACTGTATTTATGCTTGATATAAATATGATGGACCACATCTATTAATTGTTGGAGATATATATGGAGTGGGCCGAAGATTTCAGGCTACATTTAGTATGTGAAATAGCTCGTACGTTTACAACAACAACAAACCCAGTACAGTCCCCACAAGTGGGGTATGGGGAGGGTAGATAGTACGCAGACCTTACCCCTACAATGAATGTAGAGAGGCTGTTTCCAGTAGACCCTCGGCACGAGTTACTAAGAAATAACTCTTAAGTTTACATTCTAAATTCTGACCCAAGAAAATTGGTAATAGAATAGAAAAGAAATAATAAATCTACAGAGAAATCTTGAAGTTTTAGAGGTTATCATTTTGTTATTAGACCAGAGAACTAACAATGCTATAAGATTTTTCATATCTGATAATGAAGGCTCATTGTTTTTCGCTTTAGTCTTCACTCCTATAGGCTATAGCTATCCTAAAACTTATAGAGTACCAGGTTGGTGACTTAGTGGTCGAATGGATTTTGCAATGCATTGTGATAAACAGGACTATTCTCAATATCTTTCGATGCATCTGGTTACCAAAATAGCATGTGATCCGAAGAAACTTTGTGCACTTTATCCCATATTAAGTTGCTGTATTTTAGTGCACAGAAATGTAATTTTAGGAAAAGTAAAAGGTACTTGTAGGTGAAGTTTATTGAAATTGAAATGCTAAAACTTACTTTTAGGCAAAAGCTATCCTAAGGTAGCTTATACGGAAACGTGAAAAATTGACAAAAAACATGAACATAATTTAGGTTACTTGACAATTTCGAGCTTAAAATGTGATTCTAAGCATTAACCAATTATATGGACCTGTTCCTCGACGCAGGTGATCAGATACTCACATTATGCTTTGAGTTGCATTGGAAGTCCACCATACTTTATCACTTACCTCAGGTTTGATTCTCTTTCAGAAAATAATGCATCTAGTTACTCAGGAGAGAGTATATTATTGGGAAATTTACTTGGTTTTAAATTTCTTTTTTTGCCCGTTAGGTACACTGCTTTCATTCTACTGTATCCCGTTGGACTAGGACCTGGTGAAAGTAAGTTAACAAGTTTGTTGAAACTAATGCATCGCATTCATATTGTTGTATACCATTCCATTTATTTGTTGTCACTTTTGTCTACTATGTGCAAAATCTGAAAAGCTTGGACTTCGTTTCTATGCAGTGTGGCTTATGTACCAAGCACTTCCGTTCATAAAAAGGAGAAACCTGTATGCAGATACTCTCCCTTTTAGTTATTGTAACTTTGTTAAGGTACGTTCTGATATCCTGAAATAAGATCACTTTTTGCTGAAACCTATATACAGTGGTCTATTTTGTTCTCTTCAATTCAAAAGGAAAAAGTTTTGTTGTTCTTTGAGCGTTAGGCTTGTCATTACTTCGTATATTAAGGACCTGATAATAACTAAAAGCAAATGAGTTCAGCATCCAATCTATTCGAATTTACTGAGTATATACTTTTCAGCTGCAACTGATTTTTAGTTGCTCTACTGTTCGTATCTCGATATGCCTAGTTTTGCAAACTATAGAAAAAACATCCTTAATGGCGAAAGCTTACTTTGGCTTTCGCCACCATACCAAACTCCTTCAGCTTTACTTTTGCATCAGATTCTCTCCATTTCTTGAGGTGAATCCTTGGCACTTACTCTGTATAAAACTTTTAAAATAAAGAAAAGCAACTTGACTTCAAATCCTATGTACCAATGTCGCGAGTGGATCATTCTTTGTAGCTGATATTGTTGTATCATTCATGTGAATCTTATGCCCGGAGTTGGTTTGAGTAATGCCTATAAAGGGAGTTTTCGTGCTTGTATAGATAGATGGATCACACTTATGCAAAATGCTAAACCCTTGTAAATGTTTTGGGCATCATCTTAGGCACATAAATGATGTGGCGTAACTAGTAAAGTGGATGCCATGTGACCAGGAGGTCACGGGTTCGAGCCGTGTAAACAGCCTCTTGCAGAAATGCAGGGTAAGGTTGCGTACAATAGAACCTTGTGGTCCGGCCCTTCCCCGGACCCTAGGCATAGCGGGAGCTTAGTGCACCAGGCTGCCCTTAGGTACATAAATAGAATAATTCTTATTTATCCCCCAAAAGAAATACATATTACTTCAGTATTTTGTTAGACATAAACAATACTTATCATTTTTCTTTCAACTTCAGGTTCTGCTTCTGTTTTACCCTTTTCTGTGGCTCAACCTTTATCTGCACTTGTTTAAGCAACGGCGTTCAAAGCTTGGTAAACATCAGAAAACAAAGAAGATATGAGAGTCGAAAATTTTTATTTCTATTACTTTTATTTTCAATTGCTTGTAGAGAATAAAGGATGTCAAGTACACCATGAGAAGTTAAATTCCTAGCATTTGACACCTTTCTCCATCAACAGACTTTCTGCTGGTGAATTTCCAAATATAACTTGTATGTCTGAATCTGGAGAACTCTAAGCTTAAAACCTATTGGAGAAACTTACCATTTTTCCAAAATATGTTTGTTCCATGACCTTTCTGTAAGAAGTGCCCACTGCACAACTTACTACATAAACTAAAATTGTAAAGGGGGCCAAATTGGGGTGCAAGTGCACAGATAGCGATATTCAGAAATGTTATTTAGAAATTAATCAGTACTTATTTTGCCCTACAATTTTAAATTAAAATTCTTAACTTTAGGACAATCCAGGATATTTTTGTTCCAAAAATTTGAAGTGAAAAATTAAAATTCAGGACGCACCGACTAATTTCTAAATAGCAGCTTATTAGAATGGCTACGTGGTGTCACTTATACCCAAATTGGTTAACATCCAACAAATTTGATCCAGCCAGAACCAGGTAATTCAAAAACAATAAATACTTATATTATAAAAGTAAGTAAATGAAGCCAATAGATACAATCAGATTGGGGAAAGAATTACTACGAGTTCGGAACATATATTTTTTTTAAAGAAGATGAAGGTGGTGGATGGTGTTGCTGTGATAATTGTGATAGTTATATAGTCCTATTTAATTATTGAACAATCAAAGATGCTCTAACAATGTTAGAACAAAATACTTTAAAATGAAGAATATCATCAAGACTAGTGGTGACAAAATGGATTAAAAAAATAGTTATCCACTAAAAAATAGGTTGTATAATGAGTTTTTAAAAAACGGGTCAAATATGGATAAGAACCATATTATCCACTTAGAAAATGGGTAACCAATGGATAACTATTTTTACATTTCTAAATACTCAAATTGGGTGTTCCTCAAGTTTGAGACTAGGAATACTCCCCAAAGTGAACATATCAAGAAGCCATGGATAATATGAATATCCATATTATCCGCCGGTTAACCCATTTTCTATCCGTATTAAATATGGATCGGGTTGGATAATTTATCCATTTTTTGCATTACCCGTTCCGACCCACATATATCCGACCCGACCCGACCCGCGTGCCACCCCTAATCAAGATATCATCTTCCTCGAGAACTATCATGTCAAATCATCAATAACATAAACTAGATGCGGAAGCGTACCTACATCCATGAAAACTGGATTAGTCCTTCAACCTGTGGTCTACCTATCCTAAATATAACCTTAATGGATAGAGACTGCCCAAACAAGCCCATTAAGGCAGCCTGGCCCAGACCTGAACTTGGATTGGCATGCTCATTCTTAATCGCTCGGGTCAACCCAACCAGGCCCAGTAGACACCCTTACTTTAGAAGGCCCTATATCTAAGATTAGCAAACGAAAAAATGGAAGTTCCTCCGACTTACATCCAATGCACATAGACTTCAGAATCCGGGGGAAAACAAAAAATTGATTGGTCAGGTGAAATTAATTATATTTTCTAACTAAAAATATATATATTTTATCGGCTATTATTTTTTTATCGGCTAAAAATATACATTTATCTATAAGTATATAGGACGGCACACGTGCTACCAATAAATACAACTTACAACGTTAAATGAGTACAAAATTCATGTGCCATCCGAAACGGGCAAGGTGACAAGTGTATTGGACTTGTACTACCATGTGCAAAACTGGACAATATACCTTTCTTACCGGGGTTACGACAACAACAACAATAATTCAATATAATTTCACTAGTGGGGTCTGAGAATGGTAGTGTGTACGCAGACCTTACCCCTACTCTGGGATAGAGAGGCTGTTTCCAATACCCTCGGCATCCTTCCCTCCAAGAACTCCCCACATTTCTCTTGAGGTGACTCGAACTCACAACCTCTTGGTTGAAAGTGGAGGGTGAAATTAAAAAATAGCCAGATTTACAAGTGGTAATTGAAAAATAGTCACAATTTCAAAAGTAATCAAAATTTAGTCACTTTTCATGTAAAGATAAATCTGAACGACAACACTGTTCAAAAATCTGAAAAATATTCCAGCATAACATACTGGATTTAGAATTTTTTAGGGAATGTTACACAAATAGCCGGGCAGATTCAATGTTTACCTTTTCTAACCGGTATACATACATTATACATTAACTATACTTAATTATACATATATTATACATGAATTGTACATATATTATATATTCACCGACTATTTATAGTTTAAGAAATTAGGTGGGTGGCTATATGGGTTAATTCTTTAATTTTTTACATGTGAACTTTCAGCATAATATACTGGAGTTCCAGCATAATATATTGTTCCAGCATAATATGCTAGAAGTTCATACACAGATGCTCCAATTTCCAGTATATTATGTTGGAACTTTTCGTGTGTAGGAGTTCCAGCATATTATGCTGGAAGTTCATACACATGTGCATCAATCTCCAGTATATTATGCTGGAACTTTCCGTGTTGCAGCAAAATAATGACTAATTTTCAATGACTATGCAAACGCTGACTATTTACCAAACATTTCATCAGCTTGTTTTAAGTTTCAATACTTTTATCCAAACACGTAACTGCTTATTTATAAAACAAGTTCCAACACTTATAAAATACTTTTAAGCACTTAACTTAAAAATTACTTTTTTTAAGCCAATCCAAACGGGCCCTATGCTCTATAGATTTAATTAACCCTCGTTAATCGTCGCACCATTAAGTAGACAGGTAAAGTCGTTACTCGTTAGAATACTAAAAAGATGTTAAAAAATAGTTTGCACTTTCATATGTGGCCTCTGCTTTTCCGGACCATTGCTACGGTGGGCTCAAAAAAGAAACTTGTATAAGCAACTTTAAAATGACTGGTCCACTCCCAGCTTTTCAAATTTTTATCATAGACTACAAAATATGTAGGTTAAAATAAAAATGAAAAAAGACTAGTATATACTATATGGAGTATATAGGTTAGGCACTTAGACATTATCTGTGGCTTCATTTGGAAAGATTATGGTATTTTTGTACTTACATGTTCATGCATGTGTAACTCCACTTGAGCTTTAAATTGTGCATAATTTAATAAATACCGAATTATCGTACCGGAATCGAATATTTTGGTATTTGGTATTCGATATTTTGGTATTCGATATTGTATTTGGTTTAAGTTTAAAAAAAATGGTATTAGCTATGTTATTTAGTATTTTAAAATAAAATACCGATACCGTACCGAAATATATATTATATTACACAATACATATATTATTAGTTATAACATAAATATAAGAAATCTAAAATTTTACTTTTCTTTATTCTCTAAGTTCATCAATTAACCCTAAGCAAGTAACAAGATATTTCTAATGATCAAATTTATTCTTTTATGTACAATTTTCTCTTTCTAGGTTAGTATTTCCTGATTTTAGACAAAATTTTTGTCAACAAACATTTTTAGTTTTGTATTTTAATTCGAGTACTTTAATTAAAAATATTATCGTCTATGACTCTATGCACTAGTTAGTATTCAAACTGAATAAACTGAAGTTACCGAACTGAATAAACCAAAACCGAAAGGAGAAAAACCGAACCATACCAAATTTAATTAGGTACGATATTGTTATAGTATTGTAAGAAATCGAATACCGAAAATATCAAACTAAAATATCTAAATACCGTACTTGAGCTTTTGGATCACATAAATTAGTTTACTAATGTCAACTTTACTAGGAAACCTAGGCAATGAGTGAATAATAATTGCACGAATAGATAATTAATAATTTGATGCGTGTGTATGCCATTTTAATTATTCAGGTAGTGACCTACTAAGCTAGATTCATTGCATGGAAGTGAACCAATAAAAATACCAAGCAGCTTTGTCCTTTAATAAACATTACTCATATAAAATACAAGTAATTTTGTCTGCTTCTTAGCCAATGGTGTAAAACCACACGAAAAAGAATCAAACAGACAGATAAATTCCAAGTGTTAGAGCTCCAACGGCTTGTCATAGTGCCACGTCTCGTAACACTACCATACAACTACAGAAATGAAGTATTTAAAGGTAGGATTAGGAGGATAATACAAAACTGAGGACGTAAAAAGACGTAATCATGGAGAAATCCAACGGCGCCAACTTAATATTATATATGGGGTTGTTCATTGAGTTTACATTGATTGTAGTATTGAAATTTTATGCTATTAAGTCACTCAAAAGATATTTAATTTAGATAACTTTGCATAAATATTGAAATTTTTACCTTTGAAAACAAGTAATTGATAATATTAAAATTCTTACATCGTTGATGGATAAAGTTAAACTCTTGTTAATAATGCCGGTGTTAATTAGATTACTCCAATATGTAATATAACTTAAATCCCTACCGAGTCTAAGTGATGTGTAGCACTTTATATTTTTCTTACAAGGGGTAGAAGATTTCTTAATGGTGTGAGATTTTATAGAAAAATTATACGGGTTTGATCAAAGTGGATAATATCACAACATATTAAAAGTATTTTTAGACCGTTTTAGTTAAATAATTGGTATTAGAGGTGCGTGACCAGTATAGCAATGAGAGAGTGATGGTGTGGGCCTCGGTTTACTTATTTTACGAGATTGGAGATGCGCACACAAGAAGAAGCTAGTTTGTGCTGCGCTTCAGTTGCTTTAAATATTCTAGCGACGTGGGTGGCACATAGTGAATCTCGAAAATTAACTCGTGGATCGTGGTAATAGCCCACGTGGAACTTGGTTAGAGAGGGGAGACCCGTGGATCGTTGTAGTGGGTCACGTGGAACTTAGTTCGAGGGAGAGATTGTTGGGTGTGCGAATAAAGTGTCACATTAGTAGCTGAAAGGATTGAAAATCTACATATAATGTGTAGGGAATCTCTTAATGGTGTGAGACCTTTTTCGGGACCATACAGATTTAACCTAAAACATATAATATCACATCATATTAACAGTATCTTTGGGAAGTTTTAACCGAACATATAACATGTTAATGACCTATAATATCAGGTGCGTACATATAGTAAGTCAAAATATGGTAACGATATGATATTAATAACATCAAAATATGGTACACAATCCGTGTATATATACAATATAATTAACTTAAATTTATACTGATATTACATGAGAGTTATTGAAAATATACGTG